CTCAGGAAAGGTGAGCTCTTTGCTGGCCAGGAAAGTTTTTACTTCTTCCAAACATGCGACAAAGCGTTTTAGCACCTCGCCTCTGAACAGCCACCGGACCTTGTTGTGGAGCAGGAGGTCAGAATATATGCTTTCCACTCACTGTACAGGCCCGACTCCCAGTGACAGTCACACTGCAAGCCCTCTCTTTCTCTTTCTCCAGTCCTCTCTGTCCTCTTCTTTTTCCTTCTCCCTTTTTTCTCTTTATTGCTTTTTTATTATTATTATTTTTCAGTGTCCCCTCTGTCAGCACCTCTCTTTCCCCTCGCAGCAGTCTCCTCCACCCCAGCTCAGAGATGCACGCTCAGCATGCCCTCAGTGACATCACACGCTGTGATGTGAGGGAGGAGGCTGGGCCAGGACAGGGACGCTGTGGTTGCCTAGCGACACTAAGTCGCTGGCAACTTGCCACACAGAGTGCCAGGAGCACCGGAGGCGGTGGAGGTAAGTGATACAGCTCCCCGCCCCCCCTTCCTCCCCCCCTGCTATTGGCCGGCTGGGAGCCGCAGCAAAGCTTCAAAAGAGCCGCATGCGGCTCCGGAGCCGCAGGTTGCTGACACCTGCCTTTGGTGGAATCACTGGGTCATAAGGCATTTTTAATTTTTGAAGAATCTCCATATTGTTTTCCACAGTGGCTGCACCAGACTACAATTTAACAATTTTATTAATATAGTATGCACATGGAAATAGTTGTTGGGTTTGTGTGGTAGTAATATAGATGATTAGGTTTTCTCTTTCTGTACATATTAAGCATGTATAACAGTTTTTCAGAGAAACAGGGCCAGTAGGAGGGAGACAGAGAAATAGATATAAAATAGGAATGACTCATGAGATTATGGAGGCTGAGACATCCCATGATCTGCTGTCACAAGCTGGAGAACCAGGAAAAGTGGTGGAGTCTGAGTCTGAAGTCCCGAGAACCAGGACTGCCAGTGTCCCAGGCAAGAGAAGATGAATGTCCCAGCTCAAGCACAAAGAGCACATTTGCCCTTCTGCTGCCTTTTTGTTCTGTTCAGGCCCTCAGCAGCGTGGATGATACCCACTGCATTAGTGAGAGTGATCTTCCTTACTCAGGCTGTCCTTCAAATGCTCTCTCTTTTGGAAAGTCCCTCACACACACATTGGAGGCTCCAATAGCTCGTGATCTGCTGTCACAAGCAGATCATTTAGCTGAGCATTCTTTTCTTTTTAAAAAAAAATATATTTTATTGATTTTTTTACAGAGGAAGAGAGAGGGACAGAGAGTTAGAAATATCGATGAGAGAGAATCATTGATCAGCTGCCTCTTGCACACCCTCTACTGGGGATGTGCCCGCAACCAAGGTACATGCCCCTGACCGGAATCGAACCCGGGACCTTCCAGTCTGCAGACCAACGTAGCTGAGCATTTCTTAGCACAGTCACTCTGACACATAAAATTAACCATCATAAAACACTTTGTAATGTTGCTGTAAAACATTTATAATAAACACTTTATTTTTTTAAATAAACCTTTATTGTTCATATTATTACAAAAGTTCCTCATTTTTTTCCCCTCTACCAGATTCCCACCCTACCCTCTGCCCTTTCCCCACCCCCCATTGTCCTCATCCATAGGTGCACAATTTATGTTCAGTCTCTTCCTGCATCCCCCAGTCCTCTTTTCCCTGAGAATCATCAGTCCACTCCCCTTCCATACCTCTGATTCTATTATATTCAACAGTTAATATTGTTCATCAGGTTTTTAAATTATAATAAACATTTTAAAAGATAATCTAAAGCATGACTTACAGTTCCATTCTTAGCAAGATCCAATTTTGGAAGACCTGCTATGCCTAATATCTAAGTTAACATCGGGTCCAGGAATACTTTAAAAGGAAATTTGGCCAAAACCGGTTTGGCTCAGTGGATAGAGCATTGGTCTGAGGACTGAAGGGTCCCAGGTTTGATTCCAGTCAAGGGTATGTACACTGGTTGCGGGCACATCCCTGGTAGCGGGTGTGCAGGAGACAGCTGGTCAATGTTTCTCTCTCATCAATGTTTCTAGCTCTCTATCCCTCTCCCTTCCTCACTGTGGAAAATTAATAAAATAATAAATTAATTATTAATTAATTAATTAATTAATTAATTAAAAGGAAATTTGACCAAGTGGCAAGGTAAATTGTGGACAAAATGGGACCTAATTCTAGAAAATGTTACCAAAGAGGAGGTTCAAAATAATTACATGGAAACTAAACTAAGAATAAATTGTATTTCACAACTTCTTGCTTTAAGGATAATTGAGTCTTTCCCTTTTGAAAAATTTTATAAACATTTTACCATTTAATTGTGATTCAGAAAAATATAGAATATAAACATCAATCACCCAGATTTATTCAATTTTAGTTTTTGCCATAGTCTTTTTTAAAGAAATAGAACATTAAGAATACTATAACACCCCACTCGGCCATTTTTCCTCCTTTCTAAGGAATAACCACTATTTTCTCCACGCCTATCATTCCTTTAGTTATATTTTACTACATTTGTGCATGTATTTGTATAAGTGTATGTATATAGCAGAGAGTATCATTTAGAATCTTTAAAAATTTAACAAATACAATTGTTTATATTGTTTTGCTGACAATGTAATAATATTAGATTCTTTTTAACTGTTATAAAGTTTTCCATCCATTCATTCATTACCTTACTGCATAGCAGTTAGATTGTGTCCACCTTTTCACTATTTAAAAAAATCTTGCCCCATAAATGTCTTTGTAAATATCTCCTTTGTCATATGTCTTAGAGTCTTTAAAAAGAATTTTTAATCCTTACCAGAGGATATGCTCATTGATTTTAGAAAGAGGAGAAGGGAGAAAGGGAGAAAGAAACATTGATGTGAGAGAGAACATCTATTGGTTGACTTCTGTATGTGCCCCAAATAGGGATTGAACCCACAACCTAGGTATGTGCCCAGACTAGGAATCGAATCCACAACCTTTTGGTATACAGGATGACACTCCTTAACCAACTGAGTTACACTAGCAAGGGTAAGAACCTTTTTTTTATCCAGTTTTCATAGAAACCTAGAAATGGAATTTTGGGTTGTAGAGTCCATGATTCTCCAACTTCCCTAAGTAATACTAAAATGCACATTAAGCGGTACATGATTGCAATAGTGAGAAGACTCAGTTCCTCTCTGGCTCTTGGTACAGGTCTCAGTTCCTCAGGTTAGGAACTTTTTCATAGGACTTCTTTAGTGTGCTCAGAGCATGGCAGGTGGCTTCCTTCAGCATGAGCTGGAATCAAACCATGACCTCCTGATTCACAGGTTCACACTCAACCACTGGGCCACACCAGCCAAGGCCATATCTATAACTATTTAATAGGATAGAGGTAGATTATATACAATTATATTTAGCTCAGCCTAATTGTGAATACCTTTTTTTCTGTGCTGAAGATTTGTTCACTCAATACATTTTATCATGGGTTGTTTTCAAAATCTTGTATTCGTTTTTAATTTTTATCTTTTTAGTATCAGTCTGGCAGTGATTGGAAGTCACTTTTTTTTTTTTAATGCAAGCACACCTCTTTGAACTCATAATCTGCTCCCTTAGTGATTCTCTCAACGCACCCGAGTAATTGCTGTTACTCAGGCTTTGCAAATAAACAAATCAAGAGTTGGGTTTGGCTTAGATTTTAAGAAGACTAGGAAGAAACAGGAACAAAGATGTGAAACTTTAGCCCAGAGACATGCAGGCCATAAAAATAGGAAGGAACTCAGTGGTGATATTGCCTAATTTACTCTATTTTACCCACAGAGGATCCTGCTAGTCATTAAAATTGGCGTGGCTCAGTGGTTATAGAGTCGGCTTGTACAACGAAGGGTCTCAGGCTTGACCTCTCAGGGAGGTCAAAGGCATGCCTCTGGGTTGCAGGTTTGATCCCAGGCTCCTGGCATGCACTTGGGAAGCCTGTCACAGGGTTATTTCTCCCCTCCCCTCTCTCCCCTCTCTTCCTTACCCCCTCCTTCCCATTCTCTCTGAAAAATCAACAGAAAAAATATCCTCGGGTGAGGATTAAAAAAGAAAGTCCCAGCCTTACTAAGTTAGGTGATCTTCCCAAGACAAGTTTTCTGTCTCCCAGATACTGGAGATTCAGAATTGGTAAGGACCCTTCAGGTTAAAGACGATGAAGGTGAGTTTGGATTCTGACAGCCTGGCTCCCAGCACAAAGGCTCGCCAGGGATGTGACCTAGGGCAAATTGCCTAACCACCACAAGCCTCCCATTCCTCACAACGAAAGCGGGGTGAGTTAGTAGAACCTGTATTTGGGCTTGTTCTGATGTTAAATGAGACAGAATTGGCAAAAACACTTATTGGCAACATAAGCTTTTTTTTTTTTTTTTTTTTTTTTTCTTAAAGGAGGGGGGCCTGTTGAACAGAAAAGGCTCTCCTTCTCTTTATAAAATCCAGATAATCCTTTTTAGAATTTAAATATGAGCCAAAGAGGCGGAGGGAGGGACTGATCCCTTTCCACCCATTAGGGACCACCTGCTGCCTCTCCGCTACGGAAAATCATTTCCTTACTCCGCTCGCGGGCTGACCCACCTGGGTGAGAAGGGGTGGGCAGTGGGGTGAGCAGCCTCGGGCCACAGAATTAGCGCCCCCGCCGGAGGGAGAGCGCGGCGGGACTCAGGGCTGCGGCCGCGGCGGGGGCGACCGATGGAGCTGTTCCGGGTCCCCGGAGCCCCAGACGGCCAGGCCGCGCGCGGGCCCCGCCTCCAGCCCCCCGGGCCCCGCCTCCAGCCCTCCCTGCTCCCCCTCCAGCCCTCCGGGCCCCGCCTCCAGCCCTCCAGGCCCCGCCTCCAGCCCTCCCGGCCCCGCCTCCAGCCCTCCGGGCCCCGCCTCCAGCCCTCCCGGCTCCGCCTCGGCTCCTCCTCTCCAGTGTTTCCCGGGCGCCCGCCGTGACCGCAGCGATCGGGCTGTGGCCATCCCCGCCGAGCTATGCATCCTGTGCGCCCGGGTTCGCGCCCGGCGCTGGCGCTGCTGCTCCTCTGGGCCGGGACCGGGGTGCCCGCCGCGGTGCCCCCCGCGACCCCCGCGCCCCCCGCGCCCCCCGCGCCGCCGCTCTTCAACGTGAGCCTGGACGCGGCGCCCGAGCTGCGCTGGCTGCCGGCGCTGCGGCACTTCGACCTGGACTTCGTGCGCTCCGCGATGGTGCACATCCTCGGGTGAGCTGAGCGCGGCGCGGGCGGGGCTGCGGGGCTGCGGGGCTGCGGGGCTGCGGGGCCGGGTGCGGGAAAGCCCACGCGCGGGTATTTGAACCGAAACGCAGCCCCTTCCCGCCCTCCGCGCCCGGCTTCGGGAGTGAGAAAAGGGCTGGCGGGGACCGGAGCTGGTCTTCGCTGCTGCTCTAGGCGGCGTCGAGGTCCAGGACGATCCTGCGCGGCTGGCTCGGCGTTCCGGTTCGGCGTCCCCAGGGGCACGCCCGTCCTCGGGACATTCCAGGTCGGGGAGGTGCTGCAGACGTTGCCCCGGGCTGCAGAGCCGGGGGCGCAGCCCTTGCCGGCTAAGCCCGCCCCTTTGGGGACCACGCTCGCTCAGCCTCTCTCCCGTGGAGGTTTCCCTTTCCTCTCCTGGAGGCTGCGGATCGGGTGGTGCGTAACCCGAACTGTCCGCGCTCTGGGGAAGGGAGGCAACAGCATCGCTCCTACGAATGGGAGCCTTAGGTCCCCTCACTCTCCTCCCCACCCCACCCCCCACACACAAACACACTCGCACCCCTGCACCCTCTGAGCTCAGTCACCCTCGCGGCTTTTCTTTTCCAGGGATAAGGTCCCCAAGTGGGTGCACGCGGTGATGCGAAAGGCGGTGAGGGAGCTGGAGGGCTCCCTGCCCCAGCCCTACGGCGATGAGATCCGCGGCCTGTGCGAGGCCCTGGGCTTCGGCCTGGCGGACTGCATCCTCATCAACATGGCCTACGAGGCCACCGCGTGAGTGCCCCGGCTTGGGAGTGGGGGGAAGACCTGTGTCCAGGGTGATAAAAACGGGGTGGTGCCTGGGCTGCCCAGAAACCCCCAGCTCTTCGTCTTAGGCAAGCGGCTTCTCTGATCTCAGTACTGAACTTTCCCTCCACCTGATGCCCCCTTTCTCCCACCACCAGCCTAGGTAGCATCCCCTTTGTGAAACTCTGCTCAACGTGTCCTTCCCAAGAAGTTTTGGGGACTAACCCCACTCTCACCTGGATCCTCTAGTTAACCCAGCAATCCTCGGGCCGCCCTAGCACTGATTTGTCCCTGCAGCCCTTCCTCCCCCATGTCTGGCATAGCTAGTGATCCAGATGCCTCTCCCAGTCTGGTCCCTCCAGGACTGGGGCCACAGGCCAGACAATGTTTGGGGTGCTGAGTGGGTCTGATAAAATGCGGGGCACAGACCGGGGAGCCATATGGAGTGCCTGGTTGATCCCAGGCAAAGTGTAGGGAAGCCTCAAGTCTCCATTGACTCAGTAACAGGTCCTGGGATTAAGAGGTTTCTGCCTTTGGGACTAAATTGTTTTGTTACCAGACCAGCCTCATCTGGTAGCATCTTGCAGATACTTAAACAGTAGTTTTGCTAGCTTTACCCCGTGGCCAGCTAAATGTTAAAGGCACATGGTAACATGAAATACCCATTGCATGTTGAAGTTGTTTATTACACGTCCTTACAAGCTAATGTCTTCTTAAAATATGATGCTTTCTAAAACACTGTGTGATATGAAGCAAGAATTCTCGTGATTCGTCCGCAATGTGATAATGGCTTCCGGCTACCAGAAGATGATGAAAAAAGTTCCTGGGATAATGAAACTTGACTGTCAGCCCCTCTCCTCCCCTGGCATCTTTCAGGAAGAACTAGACAGAGCAGGTTAACATGCATCGTGATTGTGTTTCTCCTCAGGAAAATGTTTTAAGACACAAACTTGTTCAAGTGCTTTTCAATTGGACTGAGTTAATTTTGCCATTCCTTGACTCCTATCCCCATTGTTTCCCCGTTCTGGCATGTGGCTTTCTCACTGAGAGAAAAAAATCCATTTTCATATTCACCTTCACCTTCTTTCGTTGGAGTCACTGATTGAATGAAGCAAAAGTCCCAGGAAGAGTATTCTAACTTTGGGATATGATGTTAAGGTGTAGATTGAATTGCCCAACAACACAAAACACAGGCAGACTCTGCTAACCTTAACAAAGGAAACGTTTTATTCTCACTTCTGATGTAAGCTTGAGATTTTTCAAGTCAGGATAAGACCAGCTACCCCACACTGAGCCCGTTGGGTGCTGGGCACTGAAGGTGGCATCACCTGCTGTGATGTGGAAACCAAGCTGGAGCTGCTGAAAGCACGTGTGTCTCCATTGCTGCCGTGCCTTTCGCAAAGCAGACCCTGCCCCCCCCAAGCCCCGTGCATGTGGGCTACCTCATGTGGGCATGACGTGGAAGTAGTGTTGTCTTGCCAATTTTGAAAAATCAGACTTTGCTTTAGTCACTTGCCATAATTTTATCAGTCCCCTCCTTGACATGAACTCTTAAAAGTTAAGATCGGAAACCTCGGGAAAACCTAAAACCTTACCCAGCTTCCTTTAAACAAACATAAAAACTAAGTACCATTTCCTTTCTCCTGACTCTAAATGTACTATGTAATCATTCTGGAAAATTAATAAATGTAGAGAAGTGAAAAGAAATGAATGATATCCTATTACTCAGAAAGGACCATCAGTTCTTCAAGGTGCTTCCCCTCAGTTCTGTGTGAATAAACATATCATCTTCCCCATTCCTCAGAATTGGACACGCTGTAGTCAATATGTTTTTCACATAACATTTCACATCCTCAAAGGATTTACATACCTTGCCACACCACTTCCTGCTTCCTCAAACTGCTTCTCTCTGGCTCCTCCTCTATTAGCTCTGTGCAAAGAGGTCTAAAGGGGACAGGAAAAGTGCAGGCCCCTAAAGAGGTAGCCGTTTTTCCAAGGAGACGAAATGAAACATTTGTGGAACAGAACGGTTTTGTTCCGTTTAGTGCCAATCTGCTGGCTCTGAGAAGTTCGTGGAACAGGGCGGTCACGTGACCCTGTGCGAGCTTTGAACAATGTATTAAATAGGCTACACCAGGGGTCTGCAACCTTTAAGACATAAAGAGCCAGTTTCCAAAGGAAAAAAAAAACCTGGGAGCCGCAAAACCATTGCGACATTTAAAACAAATATAACACTGCATATATTGTTTCTTACCTTACTGCTATATACCGGATCGTGCAGTTAGCTGTCAAGCTGAAGAAAAAAAGGACTTTTTCACTTAACAATGTAAAATATATTTTTGCAAATTAATAGCTAATTAAAATATTTAATTTACCTGGTTAATGGGATTTTTGCTCCTGAACTTCAGTGCAGAGTGTCAGCACATCAGGGCTGTAAGACGTTACCTTCATTTTCACAGGCTTGCAAGTTGTCGGAGCCACAGTAAAGCTTCAAAAGAGCCGCATGCGGCTCTGGAGCCATAGGTTGCCGACACCTGGGCTACACACTGCCACGCAGAGGAATAAGCAAAGTTCTGTTCTAGCTGAAACCGGTTTGGCTCAGTGGTAGAGCGTCGGTCTGTGGACTGAAAGGCCCTAGGTTCGATTCTGGTCAAGGGCATGTACCTGGGTTACGGGCACATCCCCAGTAGGGGGTGTGCAAGAGGCAGCTGGTTGATGTTTCTCTCTCATCAGCTAGACGTTTCTAGCTCTATCTCTCTTCCTATCTCTAAAAAATCAATAAAATATATTAAAAAAAAAAAGTTCCATTCTAGGGGAGCCCACCATGGGTCAATTTCAGATTGAGATTGAGGATGAAGTTCTCTTTCCACGTGTTTTCGATGCTGTGTGTGCTGAGGGCGAAGATCTAGTAACACGGGACGCTGATGCGCTGTGTCCAGCGTGTTTTCACCTTGAATTGTGAATCCATAGTTTTGGACAAGGATTCTATAGCCTATGGGTCCATTATAATGAATAACAATTGTGTTTTACTTTAAGGATTTATCTTAAAAATGAAAAACCTCATTTTCCTTTTTCTTATTTTTTTCTCATTCATTCATTATTGTTGAACTTTCCCCCTTTTCTCAGATTCTGCACCAGTATTGTGGCTCAAGACTCCAGAGGTCACATTTACCACGGCCGGAATCTGGATTATCCATTTGGGGATTTCTTACGCAAAATGACTATGGATGTACAGTTCTTAAAGAACGGGAAGGTATGGTCCATACAGCATAAGATTCAGAAATCCGAGACTTGATGACCCAAGTTAGCAATCATGGCCTGCTACTTAAATGTGTTATCAGTTTAAGATATAAAAAACATCAAACTCCTGGAAAAACAAAACCGGAAGAGAGGGTTATATCAATTACACTTATAGAAAGAAGAGTCATCTGTTATTATTAGCATGAATAGGTCAATCCATATTCCTTGGGGAAATCTCTATGAGAGTATGGCCTGTCGTCCACTTATGATGCCATGCCAGCTCTTTCTTCTGCTTTCCCATGTTCGGGGGAGGAGAAGCTGTGTAGTGTAATGGCTAGAAACACCCAGGTTTGGGGTCTGACAGTCCTGACTCTGAATCCTGCTTTTGTCACTTATTTCCTTTATGAACCTGGGAAATCACTTAAGCCAATTTTGTAGGCTATAGCTCAGAGAGGTCGATAATTACTTCATGGTGATAGTTATTTTCATCATAGTAAAGTCTGGTAACCCTGAAAAGAAAACCACTGCTGAGTTGTATTCTGTGGTGTTACTTATTTAGAAGTATAGTCTAATAGGTACTTTTGTCACAAACTTTTTAGGGAGATGGCATTCATCAATATCCATTGATTATACCTAGCAGGCTGTTATTATGAAACAGCACAGAGCATACCAAAGCCAGATTTTGGCTTTGGGGGACATTGTTTAAGGACAAAGACTATATTTTGTTTGTTCTTTGCATTTAGAGATTGAGTCACAAATATGAAAAACTTATTTACTCACTTATTCATTTAGTCATCTGCTTTTACAAACAAAATCTCTTTTTAAAATTTGAACAGCACAAGGTTTCCCACATACTGCCACTTCTGGGATGGAGCTTCTTAACCTTTGTGCAGAAACGCGTGTGGTGAAGCCTGCTGATCCCTTCTTAGAATTATGTCTATTATACATAAACTAAGAGGCATGGGCTTGCAAAAAAAACCATTATGTTGAAATACAGCCATTTCATTATTTTATTTATTCTTTTTTTTTTTTTTTAAATATATTTTTTATTGATCTCAGAGAGGAAGGAAGAGGGAAAGAAAGACAGAAACATCAATGATGAGAGGGAATCATTGGTAGGCTGCCTCCTGCACAGCCCATCCTAGGGTTCCAGCCTGCACTGGGCATGTGCTCTCACCAGGAATTGAACCATGACCACCTGGTTCATAGGTCGGTAGTCAACCACTGAGCTACACAAGCTGGGCAATTTTATGTATTCTTAACACATTAAATAGTAAAATTTGGCTTTAATAACCCATAATTTTCAGGGTAGTGACAAGGGTGTATGATATTTCAAGATATGTGTGCATAGCATAGCAAGATAGGTATGATTCCAAAATGTATGTGAAAATAGCTGCAATTTCTGCTGGTGACAGAGTCACAGGCACTGCTCTGATGACATGGTTTATTGCATGTATTCATTACTGAAGAAATTAAATTTCAGTTAGAAGTTAGTGAAAATACAGATGTACTTTTTTTCCCCCCTATCCAAGGTCATAGGTCCATTGAATTCTATCCAAGGTTAAATTTTTTACAAGGCTATTTCAGAGTTTTATTCTATTATGTTGGAACCTTAGAAGAAGAAAAAAATCCATGAAATTGTGGGGCAAAGTAAGGCGATTTCAAAGTATATCTGGTTGGAATGGTAACGTGGTGCCTTATCTCTTGATTTCAGGTCGCATACACAGGAACCACGTTTATTGGCTATGTAGGATTGTGGACTGGCCAGAGTCCTTACAAGTTTACAGTTTCTGGTGACGAACGAGGTAATCAAAATGAACGCCCAAGCATTTTTAGCCACGTCCTTGTTCATTTTTATCCAAGTACTGCACTCACCCTACAGAACATGTAGAACAACTACTACGCACGAAGGCAGGGACTTGCATTCTGGTGAGGTTAGATGGGCAGTGGGCATGGCAGCAAGGAAGACGACTGCAGGTGGCTAACAGTGCAAGGAAGTAAAGCAGGGTGATGTGATGGAGAATGAAGGAGGGGCAGGACAGTTGTGGAACTGAATTTTATAGCTAGAGGGCCAGGGAGGGCCTGACTCACGGGATTCTGCCAGGCTCCCCGTGCATCCTGCTGGAGCCAGTAGTGTGGTTACAGAAGGGAGTAAGCAAGGGTGGGGTGGAGAGAGGGCCGAGGCCACGGTGTGGGTCACGAGGAGGAGTTTGGAATTTAAGCACAAATGGAAGCCCTTAAGGATTTAGGCGAGGGAGTGAACAGATATTTACATTTTAGCTATCACGTTGGCAGCTCCGAAGAGGCTGAATTGTGTTGGGTTGAGTGGAAGCAGAGGCTGTTAGGAAGCTTTGTGGTGATCTGGAGGCTGTATGATGGCCTTCCACTGGCAACATCTGTGAAGCACTTTACAGTTTACTGTGCACTTTCTCATTAGTGCCTTACAACAGTCCTACAAGGCAGGGCTGATACGATTAACCCATTCCCGATGCAGAGGAGGAAACAGGCTCAGAAGAACTGAGAGCTAGGAGGTGGGGGAGGTAGTTCTTGATTTCACGGGTCCAGGCCCAAAGCTCTGCTTGTGTTATACAGCTGCTGCCATTCCCCAAATCTCAGGGACATCATTCAGTTCCACAAAATGTGGGAAACCCAGAGGTAACCTCTGGTCTCTGTCCTCAGGAACTTACAGCTGAGTGAAGGAGACATACACAAGGAGTCTCTTCAAGTTTAGTGTTGGTCATTGATGAACCCCATTGACTTCCTGTTATTGTTTCCTCTGATTAGGTTTATTCTTTTTTAAAATAATCCTCACCCAAGGTTATGTTGAGGGAGAGAGAGAGAGAGAGAGAGAGAGAGAGAGAGAGAGAGAGAGAAACATTGCCTCCCACACGAGCACTGACTAGGGATCAAACACAGAACCTGGGTATGTGCCCTGACTAGGAATTGAACCCTCAACCTTTCGGTGTATGGGATGATGCTCCAACCGACTGAGCCACACTGGCCAGGGCTATCATAGTCAGTTCTTTATCCTAATGTGTTTCTTCAACATTTTCTCAGATGTCAGCATGTGTGAGCCTGTTTCTCAAAGAGTACTCCAACCACAGCATGACATTTATTCAGATTTTACACAGAATGCCTACACACATGTATAAACACATGTATATTTATTAAAAAGTGGGCTTTGTTTCCATCATTTTGCAACTCAGATTGTTTAACAAACTGATCAGTAGAACCTAAGGTGTGAGCACTTTACAAATAATGCAATTACTCTAACATACATATTTAATTAAATCCTGTCAAACTGCGTTTTAAAAACTTAAAAATCTTATTTGAATGAAAACTATCTTTTTAAAAAATATATATATTTTACAGAGAGGATGGGAGAGGGAGAGTTAGAAACACTGATGAGAGAGAAACATCAATCAGTTGCCTCCTGCACACCTCCTACTGGGGATGTGCCCGCAACCAAGGTACAGGTACATGCGCTTGACCGGAATCGAACCTCGGACCTTTCAGTCCGCAGGCCGATGCTCTATCCACTGAGATAAACCGGTCAGGGCAGAAAACTATCTTTTAATCTGCTAAGATTGAGTTGAAAGGCCTGCACAATAAGATAACTTCTCTTGGTTAATGGAGACGATATATTCAGTTACACTTCTTGGCATTATGGAGAGTGCCAGCAGTGCCTCTAACCACGCGGGAAGGGGTAAGGATATGAGGATTAACTAATGGCATAGAGACGAGGAGCCTTAACTAACCACCTGGTGGTTAAGATCTTAGACTCCAGAGCCAGCTGCCTTGGTTTCTATCAGTGCTGTCACTTGCTAGCTGACAGGACCAGGACCAAGGTGCTTAACCTGTCTGTCTGGACTTCAGTGTCCTCATTTGGAAAGCAGGGATGGTAATCACCGCTGTGAGGATGAAATGAGTTCCTGTACGTGAAGTGCGCAGAGCAGTGTCTGGCACACGATAAGAGCCGGAGGAGCATTTGTTGGTATTGCCACATCCCCAAGCCTGACCTCTGAAACCCAGATTAGAGTGCCCATCCCTGTCTCAGCATCTCCACCTTGATGTTTACTAAGTATCTCAAACTTCACGGGCTTAAGCAAATCTCTTGACTTTTTCTTTTTTTAATTTTTAAATTTTTTATTTTTTGAATACATTTTATTGATTTTTTACAGAAAGGAAGGGAGAGATAGAGAGTTAGAAACATTGATGAGAGAGAAACATCGATCAGTGCCTCCTGCATACCCTCCAACTGGGGATGTGCCTGCGACCAAGGTACATACCATTGACCAGGATCGAACCTGGGACCTTTCAGTCCACAGGCTGACACTCTATCCACTGAGCCAAACCGGTTAGGGCATGATCTCTTGACTTCTTCTTTCCTTCTTTTCTTGCCCTCACCCTGCCTCCACCTAAACCTGTTCCTCTCTTGGTTTGTGTGTCTTAGGAAATGGCACTGCTAATCAGCTGATGTACCAGGAGATTCTTTGATCCCTAACTCCCCGAGTCTAGCCAGCTCTACAACCAAAACAATTCTGTCCTTGTCCGTTCTGTCTACCTTCAGCGCTAGGCTACCTGCATCCCATCGGTACCGCTGCCATCCCTGTTCACCCCGTCTCTCTGCTTCTCACCCTCCTATGGTTCCTTTTCAACCAGCACGATCAGGTGTTCCTCTGTTTAAAACCCACAGTGATGCTCCATTTCACTTATAACAAATCCAAAGTCCTGACTCTGACCTTAGAACTCTACCCCATCAGCTCCTGTACCTCATTTCACACCTGTGTCCCTCTCCCTCACCCCACCTGCACCTCACCAGCATGCTTTCTTTTCCTGGCGTCTGCCACGCTTGTTCCTGCCTTAGGTTCCTCAGCCCATCTTAACTCAAACGTCTGCAACTCAGAGAGGCTGTCCTTATGTTCTTGAAAGGAATCTTCCCTTGTCACTCGTGATTATATTATCCTGTCTCATTTTCTTTATCACAGTTATACAGGTCTTGTTTATGTCATAGTATGGCCAACTGAGCACCAGGTGTCACGAGGCTTTGCTAACAATAAATGGCAAATATTTATTCAAGGGCTTTAGGGTTTGTATACCATAGACACAACTAGGCAATACCCAGAGTGTTGTGAAGAAGAGAGAAAAGCGCCGAAACCGGTTTGACTCAGTGGATAGAGCGTCGGCTTGGGGACTGAAAGGTCCCGGGTTCGATTCCGGTCAAGGGCATGTACCTTGGTTGCGGGCACATCCCTAGTAGGGGGTGTGCAAGAGGCAGCTGATCAATGATTCTCTCTCATCGATGTTTCTAACTCTCTATCTCTCTCTCTCTCTCTTCCTCTGTATAAAATCAATAAAATATATTAAAAAAAAAAAAGAAAGAAAGAGGAGAGCAATCTTCCTTAAAAAAAAAAAAAAAGAAGAAGAGAAAAGCAAAGAGTTTTTGTAGTAAAAAGTACATTCTTCAGGATGAGTCTTGCATTCTTAGCCTCTGGCAATCTTAGCCGATGGCGGTCTTCCAGATGTCAGGGATCTGGAGGATGGAGGCTAGGCTGTCGGACATGTGAATATTCTTTCCTCAGATCTTCACAGGGTTATCTGTAGGATACAGCTACCGCAATCTATCTACCTCCCCAGACATTAATACACTATTGAAAAGTTCAAAAGTTCACGTTCTCTGGCTAATTAAAGCAGGAATGATAGAATTGTTTCCTCCTGCCTCAGCCTACTTGCTTTTAGTATTGTGCAGCTTGACTATCGTGATTCTGTTTTAGTTCTTCACTCTTTCCTCAGTATACTAGCTTCTTCTGTTCACTGTTCAATTCCAAGGGTCTGGACAAGTCAGAATGTGCCAGTGTTTCCTGGCCATAATGAGCAGGGTGACCCCCAAATCTCCAAGGAGCTGAGAGGCCAGAGAAAGACGCGGACAAGTCCAGCTTGTCAGTGCAGTTTTAACGGGGAACTTATAGAAACACAGTCCTGGGCAGCAACAGGAAAACAGTGGGTTACCCCATACACCACCTGTTTTATCCCCTAAGGAAAGGATCTGATTTTCCAAGAGGCATTGGGGGTGATCAGGGAACTAAGGGACCAGATACCTGGTGCTCTGGTGCTAGGGAGAGCTAAGAAACAGGTAACATTCAGGACACCTTGCCCCCGAGGAAGAACTGAATGGTGGAAGAAGGTTAATGGTAGTTCCTGATTAACCTGGAGCCTCCCAACCGCATTCCAGAGTCCAGCAAGGGAATTGGTGGGGGAAACGTCAAGGATTCCGGGGGATTAGTTTTATGTTTAATGGTTGTTGTTAGAATAACTCAGCAAAATAAAATTTGTTTATTATTGGACAACATTGTTTCACACATACATCAAATAGGCAAAAAACAAAACAAAAAACAAACCCCAAATCACAGAAAACAAAAAATACACCAAAAAAACCCAGCAACTTCACAGACAAAAAAAAAAGGAGGGGGTGGGGGGGAAGAAAACCTTTTTATCTTTGGCCTTTTTAACCATCTCCTACAAACCAACTACATATAATACAGCTAAATACATAAAACCTTAATGGAATTCTCAGAAAAAATTTGTTGTTTTTGCTTTTTTAAATAAAAATATGTTTATAGATTTCATAGAGGGAGAGAGAGGAACATCAATGATGAGAGAGAATCATTGATTGGCTGCCTCCTGCACACCCCCTACTGGGGACTGAGCCTACAGCCCAGGCATGCGCCCTGACAGGGATTGAATTGTGACCTCCTGGTTAATAAGTTGGTGCTCAAACACTGATCCATGCCCGCTAGGCAGTTTCGCTTTTTTTCCACAAGGTTTTTTTTTTTCCTTCCTTTGAGATGATGATGAACCTGGGGATACCACAAGTAAAATCAGAAGTAGGACAGAGAATGCTGCAAAGACTGGTTTGTTCATCCCAAGATTAATACAAATGGCTGACCCCCACAATATATACAGAAATATAAAATGTAAATAACAAACACAAATACATTTTCCTTTCTAAAGTACTTTGAAGAAAATATGCAGGACCTTGGAAGTTTGGTTCTCCTTTCCTCCCTGCTGCAAATTCACATTGTGATTTGGGCTGGGCCGTGGAGATGGCTGTCATCTGCAGGTGGCGCTGCCCTCCCTTCCCCCCGTGGGTCGGTGGGCAGGTGGGCAGAAGTCTCTATGCAAAGTAACCACCTTAGGTTCTGATATGGGAAGTGGGGAAAGATAGGTCACAGAGGTCTTTTTTTTTTTTTTTAAGTTTAACTTTTCCTCTTTTGCTGTCTAGTCATTCTCATGGTCTTTTGCTTCTTGGAGGGTTAGTGTGTGTGTGTTTTTTTTTTTGTTTTTTTTTAATTTACAGTGCCTTTTATTTAATCTTTGCCATTATTTTCTCTTTATTTAATATATTTTATTGATTTTTTTTATAGAGAGGAAGAAGAGGGATAGAGAGTCAGAAACATTGATGAGAGAGAATCATCGATCAGCTGCCTCTTGCACACCCCCTATTGGGGATGTGCCCACAACCAAGTACATGCCCTTGACCGAAATCAAACCCGGGTCCCTTCAGTCCGCAGGCCAACGCTCCATCCACTGAGCCAAACCGGTTTCGGCTTGGAGGGTTAGTTTTAAGTGGAGTCAGCAATTCAGGGAGTCAGCTCTATTGAACAGCCACATAGCAGATGTTCAATGCTTATTTCTTGAATGAAAAGTATTCTTTGGAAGTAAATCCTCTGTAGAAATTTTCAAGATGTTAAAAAGTAATTTTGGGAAATAATTGTAAATTTGTTCTGTTTTCTTTTTTAAAGTGAGCCCTAATTAAACTTAGTCATGGAAGATATACTCTTTACAGTCTTCCTAATACTTACTCAGCCACTTCTGATAGTTCCATAGCTTTATTTTCCCTGAGGTAATTCATAGAGTGATTTCCTTTAAGATAATTGTCATTGCTACCCGGCACTGGAAATTCTTGTACACACACACACACACACACACACACACACACGTTTACACAGAACACAGAATCTTTGGTGCCTGAAAACAATGCTTTTAGCTTTATCTTTGAAAACTGGATGCTAATAAAATCATTCTTCATCTATTGTACCAACATTCTTCCCCCTCTCCCCACTCCCATCAGCTTGGACTATGGGAAGGAAATGAGACTTAAGGAATTTTAAAAAGTGGCAGCAAGCTGTAACCAGTTTGGCTCAGTGGATAGAGCGTCAGCCTGCGGACTCAAGGGTCCCAGGTTTGATTCTGGTCAAGGGCATGTACCTTGGTTGCGGGCACATCCCCAGTCGGGGGTGTGCAGGAGGCAGCTGATTGATGTTTCTCTCTCATTGATGTTCCTACTCCCTCTCCCTTCTTCTCTGTAAAAAATCAATAAAATATATATTTTTTTAAAAAGTGACAGCAATTGTGTATTTACTTATTGTTCCTTTACCTCGGCAGATAAAGGCTGGTGGTGGGAGAATGCGATTGCTGCCTTTTTTCAGAGACACTCTCCGATCAGCTGGCTTATCCGCACTGTGAGTATATCGACTGTGGAGCCAGCCTCACTCTGACTTCATCGTCTGCGATGCTCTGTGTCATTTAACAATGTTGTTCTTAACGTAAGAAGCTCCTGCAAAGAATAAGCATCTTGCAAAGTGCATATCAACCTTTTGATGATAAGTGAAAGTGGTAAGGACAGATTTTAATCAGTGGTATGATATTGCAATGGGAGAAAGTGTCCAGCGTGACTTGCACTCAACTTTGATTTGTACAGAGGTACCTGGGTGTTTTAAAGGGAGAGTGGGTAATTCTCTGACTGGTGAGGGGGAACACAGGAGAGTCAGAGAACTGACAAATTATATACAAAGAGCCTAAAAGAGGGTTTGTTTGTATAAAACCTGAGTTTGCTAACTGTTTGGCTCCTTCCCTCCAGCAGACTGGGAGACAAGGGCCCTATCTTCAGGTGTTGGCTGAAACAGACAGTAAATTATTTTGTCAATGTCCAGGGAAGTCATTGACTGGTCTAATAGTCAAATTGACATGAGACAGATTAGCAGGAGAAAAAAAAATTAATAACGTCTATACCTCCTGTATAACACCCAAGAAAACTGTAACTCTTACCAAAATGGCGGAATACATTAAATACATTCACCTTAAATACATTCACTGAGGACAAAAGGAGATGTGGAGGGTGGGGAGTCAGTTATGGGAAATAACCAGGAAAAAGTATAGCAAGAGCATGATTTTTGTTTGTTTGTTTTTATTAGTTTCAAAGAAAGGAAGATAGAGGGAGAGAGGGGTAGAAATATCAGTGATGAGAGAGTATCATCACTGATGATTTTCTGCACACCCCCTACTCGGGATCAAGCTCACAACCCAGGCATGTGCCCTGACTGGGAATTGAACTGACCTTCTGGTTCATAGATCAGTGCTCAACCCCTGAACCACATCAGCTGGGCAAGAGTAAGATTTTTAACAGATTAGTAGTTATAAAATAGTTATGGGGATAGTAAGTACAGCATGGCAATATAGTTAATAATCCTTATAATAAAAGGCTATAGTAGGCAAATTGACTGAACAGCAGAATGAACAATCGCTATGATGCTCACTGACCACCAGGGGGAAGATACATAATGTAGGAGCTCCCCCTAGTGGTCAGTGCACTCCCACAGGGGGAGCACTGCTCAGCCAGAAGCCCTGAGCCAGGCTCGCAGTGGCAGTGGTGGAAGCCTCTCTTGCCTCTGCAGCAGCACTAAGGATGTCCAACTGCTGGCCTAGGCCCACTTTCTAAGGCGTCGATTGGACATCCCCCGAGGGCTCCCGTAAGAGGGTGCAGGCTGGGCTGAGGGACCCCCTTGCCAAGTACATGAGTTTTGTGCACTGGCCTCTAGCATTGTAATAACTATGTATGTTGCCATGGGGTTCTAGAAATATCAGGGAACACTTTGTAAAGTATATGATTGTCTAACCAGTATGCTATATGCCTGAAACCAATCCTAGATGATAAAAGGGTAATATGCACATAGACCAAATGGCAGAACAACTGGACAACCAATCAAAGCATAATATGTAATGATATGCTAAGGCTGCTCAACTGGTTGCTATGACATGCACTGACCACCAGGGGTAGAGAATCAACCAGTCACTATGATGTGCACTGACCACCAGGGGGCAAATGCTCTGTCTGGTAGCTGCTGGGGTCTGGACAATTGGGACTGAGTGAGATGGGCTGGACAAGCCCTGGAGTCCTCCCATGGTGGGGTCCTTCAGCCTGGCCTGTGCCCTCTTGCAATCTGGGACCCCTCGGGAGATGTCAGAGAACTGGTTTCAGCTTGATCCCACAGGCCACTCCCCTTGGGAGGGCGCCAGATGCAGGGCTCATGGCTGGCTGGCACTGCTGCAACACTGCAAGCCTCTCCCAATCAGGTCTGATTAGGTGTGAGCCCACAGCAGACACAATAGGTCTGGGATAAGCAGGAGTGGCAGGTAGAAGCTGCAGGTGGTGTTGGACTGCGGGTTTCGGCCTGCTCCCTGCAGGCCACCCAGAGGGACACCACCCATGTATGAATTCGAGCATCGGGCCTCTAATATAAAGTAATATTGAATGTAAACTGTAATTGAAAAAAAAATTTTTTTTGAAAAGTAAAATTTCCATTCAGAGTTGAGTCTAAGCCTTCTCCACTGATAATAGTTTCTAGAGATTCACACACCCTCACAAATGGAGATTTCTCTGATGAATGGGCAACTTCTACCTGGTTTTCAGAGCTTCTGCCATGTCTGCTGTTTTTTAACGATAACCAGCTTAAAATAATCCTTATGCCACACAGACATATTTGGGGAGGCAAATTCTGCTCCCCTACAACAGCCTTGAGTTTTCTCAGGGAGTCACTATAAGGGGTGGGGTGGGGGGGCGGAGGCCAGCGTCATTGTAGGGATGTGGCCTTGAGCTGTTGGAAACTGTTAGTGTTTGTTCCAGTCTTTGTAGGCCAGAGTTAAGGCCTGATCAAGAGGAGAGCTCAGAGGAGGCTGGCCGGAGTTTGGTCAAGGAGAGAATCTTGATCTTAGGCTCTACTTTTCCCAAATAGCTGACTAAAATAAGAGATAATATTATGCTTTTCTACATATATAGACGGGCCTCCCCTTTAGAAATCCCAGTGGCAGATATTCCAATTAGCAAAACAAATACATTAGAAGGTAGCTCTATACAAAACTAAAGGAGCACCTGCGTTACAGGACCTACCAGACAGCAGTGTTCCAGGCTGCATGTATGTTGTCCTTCGACCACAGAAGGCTAGTGTGGCTCAGTGGTAGAGCATCAGCCCATGCACCAAAGGGTCCAGGATTTGGTTCTTGGTCAAGGGCATGGGCCTGTGTTGCAGATTCATCCAGACCCAGTTGGGGGTGCATGTGGGAGGCAACCAATTGATATGTGTCTCTCACATCCATGTTTCTCTCTTCCCCTTCCCTCCCTTCCGCTCTCTCTAAAAAAATCAATAGGAAAAATATCCTCCGGTGAGGATTAAAAAAACATTTTAATGTAATTTACATAAAGTGAAATGCATAGATATTAAGAGTTCAGTTCAATGTGTTTTGACAGTTGTACACACTCATATAGCCACGCCTGAAACCACAAACAAAATAAGACACAGAACATTTTTAAGTCCCAGGAAATTTCCCTAGAGTCCTTTCTAATCAGTTCCCAGCCTCCTCTGACACCCAGACTCCCCTCAGGAAACCACTGTTTGACTTCTATCACTACAGAGAACTTTTGACTGTTCTAGAATTCATATAAATGAAATCATAGTATATGGACTGTGTTTCTTTCACTCAGCATAATGTTTTTCAGGTTTATCCATATTATTTGTGTTACCAACTCGTCCCTTTTATTACTGGAGAATATTCAATTCTATGAATATGCCACAATCTATCTATTTTCTTGTTGATTGGCATTGATTGGGTTGTTTCCAGTTTGGGACTATAATGAATAACCTGCCATAGAAATCCTTGTACAAATCTTTTTGTAAATGTCTGTGTCCATCTCAGTTGAGTCAGTGCCTAAGGATGGAATTGGTGGGTCATAAGGTAGATGCATAATTACCTTAGTTGAGGTATATAAATAAGTGCCATACAATTCATCTATTTAAAGCAACTCACTTTATATACTCGCAGAGTTGTACAGCTGTCACTACAACCAATTTTGGAACATTTTCATTTCCCTTAAAAGAAACCCTGTACTCATTCGCAGTCACCATTTCCTCCATTTCCTAAGGTAAACGTAAGATACATGTCCTCACCCACAATTTACCTCTGAGTGAAATAAGGCAGCGTTGCCTCTAGTATATTCCTTACTGATGTTCTTTTGCTTTTTTCTCATGCAATTCTGTTAGAGGAATGCATGCTTTAATAGTAGTTGGGGGAGGGTTTAGTCAACAAATAAAAAAAAAAAAATGAAAATGTTTCATCACTCCTGTTGCCTCACTTTGTAATTTTGCTGAGTTCAGAACACATTAACTCAGTCTGAATACCTCCCCCTAACAGCAATACGTGGAAGGCAGGGGATCGTCCACATGTCCCTGCCTCGGATGGTGGGTTGTGGTACTGAATGTGGTGCCTTTGCAGACGCGGATATTTTGAGTTGTTCTTTGGTTTGACCCTCTCCTCACCCTGCCCTTGACACTGTGCCTCAGCGGTGTTCAGGCAGGTGAGCAGAACATGTACTGCTTTCGCACAGCGGAAGAAGGTTGGTTGTGAACCAGGCCGTCCACTGCAAGACATTCCTGTGTGATCCGCTTGAGGAGGGTCATCCTTGGAAGCTGAAGATCAGGAAAGTGATTCCCTAGCAGTCCATGCCATAGACAGTGGGAAGTCTTCATGAAGCCCCAGGGGTCACTGAACACCAGCTCAGCTCTCTACTCTCATGTAGCAGCTCGGAGCCTTTGCCAAACCCTTCCATGGAGCTAGAACTCTCTTTCCCACCCCCACTCCCAGCCCCGCAGCTACCACTCTCACCAGTCTAACTTCTGAGTCTCTTTGGCTCAGCTCACGTGATGCCTCCTGAGATGCCTCCTCGGGGCTCTGGGTGAGGATGGGTTCCTTGCTCTGACTTCCATAACATCATTACCTAGCATCACCATTTTCTGTTGATTTTCCTGTCATCTTTCGAAGTTTGGGGAGAACAAGGCTGGGTTGGTCGTATTCACTGCTGTCTCCATACCAGCATGGCGTCTAGCACATAGTAGGTATTCAAGAAATACCTGTTGAGCCCAGCCGATGTGGTGCATTGGTTGGGCATTGACCCATGAACTGAGAGGTTACCAGTTCGATTCCTGGTCAGGGTACATGCCCGGGTTGCGGGTTCAATCCCCAGTGTGGGGAATGCAGGAGGCAGCCAATAGGTGATGCATCACTGATGTTTCTATCCCTTCCTCCCTCTCACTTCCTCTCTGAAATCAATTCAAGTATATTTTAAAAATAGCTGTTGAAAGAGCAAATGAATGAGGAAACATGGGGAGCAGTCTGCCTAGGAAACACGTAGCCCGTGTTTGCTGAGCTGGGCCTAGAGCGTGTCAGCTGTTCTTCCCTTTTGTGAGGAAAATCCTGCTGCCGTTGGCTTCCAGCTGAGGTTCCTCCCGTTCCCAGAGTCCCGGTGACAGGAGGATGAGGTCAGAGCAGGTCAAGGTTGTGATCGTGGGTTCACACGTCAGGAGGGTGTGTGTTGGGCCACGTGGCCATCGACTGGTGTGACTGACGATGCTGACGCAGGTCTGTCTCCGTTCAGACCCTGAGCGAAGCAGAAAACTTCGAAGCAGCCGTCGACAAACTGGCCAAGACTCCGCTGATCGCTGACGTGTACTACATCGTTGGCGGCACGTCCCCCCGGGAAGGAGTGGTCATCACGAGGAACAGAAGTGGCCCGGCCGACATTTGGCCTCTGGATCCTCTAAATGGAGCGTACGTAGAAATGAAAGGCTCTGGTCACTTGGCATTAATAATCTATATTGAATGGATGAAGCGGGAGGTGTTTTTTTCATTTTTACGCATTTCTTCTTGTACTTAATGTCTCCGGTGGCCCTGATAAGATGTGGTGATGTGCTGTGTTGTAGGTGGTTCCGCGTGGAGACCAATTATGACCACTGGAAGCCCGCGCCCCAGAGGGATGACCGCAGGTGGGCCTCGCGCTGCTTCCCGGTGTGCTCTGGTCAGGAGAACACACCCCTCCTTTCACAGGAACCGAGGAGAGCTACAGGTGCTATCCCCTCCCGGAAAACATGCCGGGCCCCCTGGCCAGTGCCAGGTGGCGGGGAGGGAGACAGAGTGTGGTGGGGATCGCGGGGAAGAGCCGTTTAGCAGTCGGTCGGGTATTGGGAGCGGAAGGCTGGCTCTGGCTGGTGGTGGGGAAAGAAGATTATTTCCGTTCTCTTGAGTCTCTGTTCAGCCATCGGTCAAAGGAAAAGGAAGAGCAAGATTCATGGTTTCTATATATAAGACTTTTTAAAAAAAATATATTGTATTGATTTTTTTTTACAGAGAGGAAGAGAGAGGGATAGAGAGTTAGAAACATCGATCAGCTGCCTCCTGCACACCCCCGACTGGGGATGTGCCCCCAACCAAGGCACATGCCCCTGACCGGAATCGAACCTGGGACCCAAGAGTCTGCAGGCCGAGGCTCTATCCACAGAGCCAAACTGGTTTCGGCAAGACTTTTTTGGGGGGAAGGAAAATACTTTTCATCCTGAGATAAATAAATCGCCAAACCAGTCCGGGGCGGTTGTGGTCCCTGCTAATTTTACAACTTCTGTGGTTATAAGTCAGTGGGTCCCCAACGAGCAGGTATTCCCCCCTGGCTTTCCCGCCCCTCGGGGTTTGGTGGGGTTCAGGGATTCCCGAAGTGCCAAGTGACCTTTGACCGTTGTCCTTACAGAACACCTGCCATCAAAGCCCTTAACGCCACCGGCCAGGCAAACCTCAGCCTGGAGGCCCTCTTCCAGGTAACTATTGGGATGCCCAGGTTTTGCTCAGGATGTTTGGTGTCTTGGTTAACAGTGATTTGAAAAAATGCTCTCCTCTAAAGTCAAGCAAATGTGGTAGAAGCAAATGCTAGAATAAAAGTTGAAAATGTTTTTTTTATTTTTTTTATTTTTCATTTTTAAAAAAATATATATTTTATTGATTTTGTACAGAGAGGAAGGGAGAGAGATAGTTAGAAACATCGATGAAAGAGAGACATCGATCAGCTGCCTCTTGCACACCCCCTACTGGGGATATGCCCGCAACCAAGGTACATGCCCTTGACCGGAATCGAACCCGGGACCCTTCTGTCCCCAAGCCGATGCTCTATCCACTGAGCCAAACCGGTTTCGGCTGAAAACGTTTTTTTAAAAAGCCAGATGACATTTTCTGAATTTGCTTCTGTGGGTTTTTCTGTGTGTTAGAAAAAGGCGCAGATGTAACATGTGGTCAGTGTTTCAGAGGAGAAAGGATGCCGGAGTCTGTAACGGTCACTCGGAGACAGGCGGGTGTGAAGGGGTTTTGTTCTTCCTCCATGTATTTCTTCTCCTCGCTGATAGTTTTTATATAATAATATGGTTTTCTCCTGCGCAGGTCTTGTCGGTGTTTCCGGTGTATAACAAGTAAGTGGCACCTGTTCACATCTGTTCCCCCGTCCCCCCAGAAGGTGGACCTACGTTCTCTCGGGCTCAGCAGGGACCTGGGGACTCCTGTGGAGCAGGCTTCCTAGGTTCTGTGGGAACAGCAGTGAACAAAACAAAGTCTGCTCTCACGGGACTAGCGTTCTGGCCCAGGAGAGATAAACAAGTATGTCATCAGTCAGGTGATGAGTCCACCAAGAAAAACAAAGATAAAGAAGCACAGAGTCGTTTTCATTTTACCTCTGTGTGGTAGCCGGGCCTGCCTGCACTGGTTGGGAGCCCCGTCATTTCACTGTGAGATCTGAGCTTGAGACAGCTTTGGCCTCCCTTTGTCTTCCTGGGAGGGTTCTGCTGCCTGGTGCTCATTCTGCAGATAACTCAGTGTCTAAGTTCCCATGCCCTTGACAGTCCACAGCCTGGGGTTTCACCCACATAGCTTTCTGAAGTGAACCAATGGGCTGTCACCATCACTGCCATAGGAAGGTCTTGGTTAAATTTGGGAGGCAGCCATCTCCAAGTTGGAGGAGGACCTGAACTTCACCATTGCAGGGCAGCGAGGCTGGATAGCTCAGCCTGCTGGTTATCCTCCCCGCCAGTGTTACCCACGCCTGAGGCCAGCTCCTGAGGCGTGCTGACACCTTCTGCGCCTGTGGTAGGACTTTGCTGACTAAAACAAAGAGGAAGCATCTGCAAGGCGATACAGAGGTTTAGCTTCTCAATAAATTCCAGAGCCCAGCATTGCCTGCTGACTCATCATTCTCACTTCTGCTTTCTCCATGACAGGGATATCAAAATAGCATTCTTCAGGAAATAGCTAATGCAGATAAAACCTGTAAAGTGGTTTTTAGTTTCAAGTACCTGATGGATTTTTTAAAAAATTGATTTCAGAGAGGAAGGAAGAGGGAGAGAGAAATAGAAACATCCGCGATGGGAGAGACTCATGAATCAGCTGCCTCCTGCAAGTCCCCCACTGGGGATCGAGCCCACAACCCGGGCATGTACGCCCGACTGGAATCAAACCCGGGACCTTTCAGTTCGCAGGCCGACGCTCTACCCACTGAACCAAACCTGCCAGGGCCCCTATGGATTTTTTTTTCTTTGAAACAATCCTCTTTTACACAAGCATAAAATAGGATTTTTCCTGATGGCCTTTAGAGTAACTCGTCTACGGTGCTTTAAGGTTTGTTATGTGTAGTGACATTTTCAAAACTGGCGTTACTATTTTTACTTTGTACAGTAGTAGGAATATATATATCTCAAAATACCTGTTTGAAAGTTCTTTTTTAAATGGCCTGATGAAAAGATGAATGCTAAACAGTTTATTTCAGAAACAATATTCTAACAACCAAATACAGAAAGACCAAAATTACCTACTCGTCAGAATTTTACCGCTCTACCCAATTGAGCTACTGGGTAACAAGTGGTACCCAGTGGTATGCTGGTAAACTAGCTGTTTAGTGGGGAGCACAAACGTGTTTCAGAGCTAAATTGGTATTATAATAAAATACTATGTTTAATAAAGCATTCCATGCTGTGAGTAACCCTTATAATTTTAAATAGCTGCGTAGCAGTAGAATGTAGTGTAATTGAGTTAAGCATTTTCCAGTCATTAGTTTTTCTTCTATTAAAGCTCTCAAACATGTTTGTGCAATTCTCTCTCCGCCTTCCCCTATTGCCCCTCACTTTTGAATATTTGCCTTGCCTGGATTCCAGATGTGGGGTTACTAAGTTAAAGGCTGTGAATGTTGAAATGAGTCTGAAATGTTTTGTCAAAATAGAGTGTTAGAAATTATAAACAGTTTACAGAGTAGCATTTTTCTCTTTTGTGTAGTAATTGAAAGCTCAAGAGGAACTGCACTTAAAGAATAATCACCACTAAACTTAAGACAAAAAAAAAAAGAATAATCACCATTGAGCCAGAATTAATACAGATCCCTGACTTTCAGGCCCTTTACCGGAGGAGGTTAATAGAAATGCCGTAAGTCTAAACAGAAGTTAGCTATATGCTGCCCCCTTGTGCTTTTCTATAAAATTACACTCACTTGCAGTAGAACCTCATGATCTGCTCTGGCTAAAAGCAGAGAAAAATTTTTTAAATTTAATTTCATTGTTTAAAGTATTACAAATAGTAGTACCTATGTCTCCCTTTTTCCACCATTGACCTTCCCCCAGCCTCCCCTACTCCCTAGAACATGCCCTCACCCCACCCCCCGTGAAGGAGAATAGAATTATCACTAAGGCAAATAAGCAGCCAAGATCCTTATTCAGGAAACATGCCCTTAGTGCTTTCTTTAGCTGGGTGTCTGATCCAGCTGTAGGGCCCAGGACCACTAATTCTGCCTATTCCTGAGCAACCCAGCTCCAGATGTTTTGAACATGCATCCCAGCTAGTGTCCAGCACAAGTGGAAGGTGAACGGGGGAAGGGAAGAGGCCAGTGTGTGCACTGTGTGTGCACCTGGGCTCATGTTCAGATCTGCTGTGCAGGATGATGCAGAGTGTTGAGTAAATGACATCATACTTTCATCTTTGTATTTGAGCAAGTGGGCCTCCTATCTTGATTCCTGAGCTCTGGCCATCCTCAACCCTGTCAATTTATCTTTTAGTTTTATTTTTTAATATATTTTATTGACTTTTTACAGAGAGGAAGGGAGAGGGATAGAGAACTAGAAACATCGATGAGAATCATTGATCAGCTGCCTCTTGCACACCCTCCACTGGGGATGTGCCCGCAATCAAGGTACATGCCCTTGACCAGAATCGAACCCAGGACCCTTCAGTCCGCAGGTCGACGCTCTATCCACTGAGCCAAACCGGTTTTGGCCTCAACCCTGTCTTGATATAAGATTCCCCTAGGCCAGGTGCATTTGCCCACCCAGTCTGGCTCAAGTCCTCAGGAATCCTTAGCTCATTTCTGTGCTGGGGGTGTGTGGTCTCCTGTTGGTGGTGTGCAGCCATTGTGGGAATCCTGTGGCCAAGGGATGTTTGCTGAGGGTCATGAAGGAAGCCTAGATGCAAAGGCTGAGGTGTCCACATACGTGTCCCACCACTTCCCAGCGGGGTAGGGCAGAGCAAGGTGTGAGAGTCAAGGCTGGACCTTCCTCAGTGCCCAGCATACAACTCTGAGGAGTCTGAGGATTTTAAAATTTGAATGTGGCCTTTCACAGTCTCACCAAAATAGGAGGAACGATCACCTTGTGTGTGGGGTCACTTGATTTGTAAATTTTAAATATTCTGACAAATGTGGGCTACTGTTGGTATTCTTGTCCTAGGTCCCAAGTGTTAGGGAAGGGCTTAGTATTTTTTCTCTCCTTTGGAATACTAGGGAAAATGATGCGTATATAAACATTTCTCTCATTATTTTCAGCTTCACGGTTTATACTACAGTAATGAGCGCTGCCAACCCAGACCAGTACATGACGCGGGTCAGAATCTGGGTTAACAGGAAGTAAGCAGAAAAGTGAACTCACCTGCTATGAAAGGTTTGTTAAAGTTTATTGGGGGAGGAAGAGGTGTGTGTGTGTGCTGGTATTTCTCACAGAAGATGGTAACATACTTAACATTTATACGTATATGATATTATTGGACAGGCATCTGGCATGTGATTATCATTTGTGTCGGATGAATGTCACTATTAGGTATTTGTTTTGAATTGTTTGTCTGAGAGCGAATCTCCTGGTGCCTGGTACCGTTTGCTCCCTTATTAAAACCTACGCTCAGGGCGAAGTGTTATCTCTTCATTTATACGGAGAGGAAGATAGCCAGTAGGATTTACGTGTCCCCAGAGTCATAGTGAGGTAGGCCCATCACCTTTGCAGCGTAAGACAGGCACTGAGGTCACAGGATGCTTCCAGAATTCATTTTAGGCATCAGTGAGCTCATGGATGAGAGGAAGGACCTAAGGAAGGAGTGGGAACCCTTTTTTCTGTCCCTGAGACCTTGTGGGCAGCCACCTACTGATAGGACACCCTTCCCTACTGCAAGGACCTTCTGGAGTTTGTGAACCTGGCCTTGGTTTTGGTCATTCACTTATCATGGGAATGTTAAAAGTTAGATAGAAACAGACTCATAGATAGAAAGCAGGCAGACCGCTGGGGAGTGGGGGGAGGTGGTTAATGTAGGAGGCGGGGTGAGGGAGTGAGCAAAAAGAAAACTCATGGACATGGACAACAGTGGCAATTGCACAGGGGAGGGGGAGGGTGGAGGTGGAAGAGGGCATAGAGGGATAAATGGTGATGGGAAAAATTAAGTTTTTTAAAAAGTCAGATTTTGAATTAAGTGCATTTCTTTCTGTTTTTTTTTTTTTTTTCTTTGCAGGTGATTCTTTAAAAATGAAATTCTTGAAGAGCTGCACTTTAAAAAATAAAGTGAAAGGACTGTATTATTTTACTAGAGGCCCGGTGCACAGATTCGTGCACAATGAGGTCCCTCAGCCTGGCCTGTGCCCTCTTGCAATCCAGGACCCCTCAGGAGATGTCGGACTGCCAGCTTTGAACCGATTCCCCACAGGCCAGGCCAAGGGGCCCCGCAACAGGCCTCAAGTATGCATATAAGATCATTGGTTAGTCTCTTCCCGCCCTCCCCCTTCCTCCCTTCCCTCTGAGATTCATCAGTCTGTTCCATGTTTCCATGCCTAAGTGTTGAGCATCTGCTCCCTGGTGGTCAATGTGTGTCATAGCTACTGGTTGGACAGTGAGATGGTCACTTAGGCTTTTATATATATAGAAGAGCAATACAGGTTCCTACCTCATTAAACTCTTCCACTGTTTGAAGTGGGAGGTAGGGGCGGGGGAGGGAAGGGAAAGCAGGAGGATCACTTTGGAGCTTGTTTTGGTAAAATGGGTAGCAGGCTCCTTGCATTCCCTTCCCGTCACTGTTTGCCTCAAGCCAGGATAGTGGAAGCTCCTCCCCAAGCTTCCACTATCCTGGCTTGAATGACTAACTCAAACATAATTGGTCTCAGAGGTCAAACTATATCCCAGCTTCTCCCTATAACATAGCTATGTTATCATACCTCAGCTTACAAAGAAATACGTTCTTTGTTCATTATGAAGTGTTTGTGGAAGAGTCTGAGAAAGAAAAATTCTTCTCAAAGGAAATGGAGTGCTCTCTTTTGAATAGAGCCTGTTTGGTTTGTTAGCCTAACCTTTGATTACATATTTCCATGTGATGGGATTCTCATTTTGTATAATGTTTCTAACCTGATGTAACTCCTTTTTCTAAATAACCACTTTCTTACTGCTTTTTGAAAGCGGCATACAGCCAAATAATTTCTGATGGTCACTTACGGTTAGTTAATAAAATACTGGAAAAGATGGTGAAGAAAATAAAAATTTTCCAAATATTTAGTGCTGTGTTCTTCCTACCTTCAGAGCAGCTGTCCTGAGGAAGCAGCTCTTGTATGTGTTAAGGGTCAGGATTCAAAGAAGCGCACAGCCGCTTTGTAGAATTGGATTTTTCCCCACATGCATGTGAAAGAAACTTCTTTGGGATAAAGTCAGAAAGGACTAAAAGCCTGAGCAAAGGAGTCGATGGGTGTTCTTGTTCAGGGCACCAGCCAAAGGAAGAGAAATGGCATGTCTGGAAGGAAATGCTGGCTGGGCACAGGCCACCCGCCCCATCACGCTGCACACATCTCTCTAGTTGCCCGGAATATACGTTTCTTCTAGAACACTGTTAGATCAACACTGTTAAGTTTCCATCATCCAATGCCCCTTTAAAAATCAAATATCAAGAGTAGTTTACTTTTGCCGAAACCTGTTTGGCTCAGTGGATAGAGCATCAGCCTGAGGACTGAAAGGTCCCAGGTTCGATTCCAGTCAAGGGCATGTACCTTGGTTGCGGGCATATTTCCAATAGGGGGTGTGCAAGAGGCAGCTGATCGATGATTCTCTCTCATGGATGTTTCTAACTATCCCTCTCTATTCCTCTCTGTAAAAAATCAATAAAATATATATATTTTAAAAAGAGTAGTTTACTCTTGCCAGACACATCATACTGGGATTAAGACCAGAAATTTCTACTTATTGGTCACATTTCATTCTTTTCTTGAATATACGTATACTATGAGTTTGGGGTGGAAATTTGGGGACTAGTCTAAGTTTACCCAGGGGAAATGAAGCCCTGGAGAGCTTTGAAGCAGGACAGTCAATGAAGCAATCTGAACCTCTGGCTGCTTTTAAGACCTTTGTCCTTTGTGCCATGTGGTTTCACTACGTGTACCTAGAAGTAGATTTTTTTTTAGTCTGCTTGGAATTTGTGCTCTCCAGATTTCAATTTTATTTCTTTTATTCAATTTTGGAAAATGCTTGGTTATCATCTAAGAATTATTCTCCTACCTTCTGCCTCCTCCTGAACTCTGAGTATGTGAGGGACTATGTCTTAGCCCTTCTGGAATTTTGGGGGGGGGGGGGGGGAAAGAGAGGAGTGGATTTCTCTCTCAATGATGTATTTCAGGCATTTAAAGATTTCCCCCCTTTAAATCAGAAATATTTCTTCAATGAGTTTATTGAGTTTTTAATATCCAGGGTAGTATTTTTTAATGGACTATTTGGTACTTTTTAAAACCTGCCAGGACCCCCCCCCCCCTTTTTTTTTTATAGCATCTTATGCCTTGCTTTCATATCTTTTGGTAAGCTTCTTCCCTTATACTTATTTATATCCTGCTTCTATTAATAAATTCCATCTTCAAGTCCTCAGGTATCAAATTTTGTTGTTTGTTTTTGCTGACTCATCATTTTAACCTTAGTTATGGCTGGGAGAAATCATCCCAGATCCTATGACCCAGGAGGCTTGGCCTTTTTGTTTATTTTATTTATTTATTTAATTAATTAATTTCAGAGAGGAAGAGAGAGAGAGAGAAATAATGATGAAAGAATCATGGATGGGCTGCCTCCTGCACGCCCCCTACTGGGGATCAAGCTACAACCCGAGCATGTGCCCTGACCTGGAATTGAACCATGACCTCCTGGTTCACAGATAGATGCTCAATCACTGAGCTATGCCGGTCGGGCGAGGCTTGGCCTTCTTGAAGTGATGCTATAATGCAACCCATTTCATGGAAGGCAGGCTCTTGTCATTTTTAGTTTCAGGCTTCCAAATTAACCATGTGAGATTATTGGTCACTATTCCTAATTCTTTTAAAGTTGTAATAGCTCATAGCAGATAACAAGATTTTTTAAACAATGGCACATAAGTTCTCAGATTTTTTATTTGATTGTAAACAATGAAATAGAATTCATTTATCCAGTCAGTATTTATAGAATTTCCACTATATGTCAAGCATCGGTCTGGACACTGTGAGTTAAGATGAGCCACACAATTATCCTGCTCTCACCGCGCTTAGATTCATTCTTATAGGAACAGAGGCACAAACAAACACAAACAACAAACGAGTGGATAGCGATTAGTGTTATGAAGAGAATAAAGCCGTGTGCTAGGGTGGAGGCTGTTGGGCTATGGGGTGACAGCATTGTCCCCATCCCTAGCTCATTCCCACTTCACCTGCCTCTGCTTTATTTCACTCTGCAGGTGAACCTTCTCCACCTCTCTGTCCCATACCTGGTTACTCCACAGCTCCCAGTTCACATCTTCCTGGTTTAAAAAGCTGAAAAAGAAAAACACAAATTCATGGAGGGAGAATTTGGGTGTGACTCATAGTCCAATCAACTCTAGGCAAGACAGAAACATTTAGAAAAGGAAAAATAAAAGTTTACTTACAGCCGAAACCGGTTTGGCTCAGTGGTAGAGTGTCAGTCTGTGGACTGAAAGGTCCCAGGTTCGATTCCGGTCAAGGGCATGTACGTTGGTTGTGGGCACATCCCCAGTGTGGGGTGTGCAAGAGGCAGCTGGTCGATGTTTCTCTCTCATCGATGTTTCTAGCTTTCTATCTCCCTCTCTGTAAAAAAAAAATCAACAAAAATATTAAAAAAAAAAAAAAGTTTACTTACAAAGAGTACAAGAAAACAGACTTCCCAAATTAAAGCAAAAACAAAAAACCCACAGAAGTACTTTTATTTATTTATTTATTTTTAAATATATTCTTACTGATTTCAGAAAGGAAGGGAGAGGGAGGGAGAGAGAAACATCAATGATGAGAATCATTGACTGGCTGCCTCCCACATGTCCCCTACTAAGGATGGAGCCCGAAACCCAGGCATGTGTTTAGAACAATGCACGGCAGAGAGTAAACTCTATGTAGTTTCAGTCCGCAGGCCTACCCACTGTCAAAACCGGCTAGGGCAGTGGTCGGCAAACTGCAGCTCGTGAACCACATGTGGCTCGAGAACCGTGGTTTGCCGCTCTGTTGACTAATGAGTTTGCTGACCACTGACCTAGACTCTTGATTCCAATAATTACTGGCTGCTGTTCCTTGTGATTGAGCCCCTATCCCAGTGGTCCGAAAACTCATTAGCCAACAGAGTGGCAAATCGTGGTTCTCAAGCCACATGTG